AAATTGAGGGAGTTTCCCAAGCTGATAATGGTCAGGCCACCTACCCTCAGGACCTCCGTCTTGTCTGGGTTCAGCTTCAACCCATTCTCCTGCATCTATTGCAGTATAGCCCCCAGACAGCGCTGAAGGGACCGGACGGCATCCACTGAAGTAAGCGAAAAGGAGCTGTGGAGCTGCGTGTCATCAGCATACTGATGGCACGAGGCCCCACACCCCGATGACCCCACCCAGCGGCCTGATGTAGATGTTAAACAGCATTGGGGAGATAATCGACCCCTGTGGAACCCCGCAACTGGAACTCCACGGGGCCGAAAGATTCTCCCCAAGCTGTGCTCTCTGGGGCCAGTCCTCCAAGAAGGAACGGAGCCAGGCAAGTGCCGAGCCACCAATTCCCAACTCGTAGAGCCTTCCCAGGAGGATACCGTGGTCGACAGTATCAAAGGCGGCCAAGATATCGAGGTGGACCAACAAGGACTTTTTGCCCCCGTCAGCCTCCCTCAACAAGTCATCCAGCAGTGCGACCAGTGCCATTTCTGTACCATGGTGCAGCCTGAAGCCTGACTGGAATGGATCCAGGGCATTGGTTTCATCCAAAAGGGCCCGAAGCTGATCGGCCACCACCCTCTCCACCACTTTACTGAGGAAGGAAACATTGGCGAGGGGCCTGTAATTGCCAATATAGTCCGCCACCAAATTCCTAAATGAAAGTTTTTTAAAGAAACCTGAGCAAGATGTTAAACAGAAGCACCTACACCCCAAAATAAATAAATCAAACAAAAATGAAGCATCAGCCAACAAGTATTAACACAGTGAAAGAAGATAAGGCCAGGGTACATCAGTGCCTTCTTTTACAGAAATGTAAGAGTTAGGTGACAGCTTTGTAATCCTGAACCACACAGCCTTTTCCTAAATCTTTTACAGAAGGTCCCCTGAAAAAAACAATGGTCCTTTAGCATAAGCACAAAAGCTCTTCCTGTTGCCATGAAAACAGGCTGCCTGTTTTCCATCAAAGTTGCCGTGGCTGCCACTCCCCATCTATGCACTGCCACCTGATGCAACGTTCAGTAATCTGAGCTTTAGCAGATTACACCATCTAGATTTCATAAAGTTGTTACTTTTTCCACAACATGTATAGCATGCATACTGCAGCAACCTGATACAGAGATGTATTCACCATAAACTATACATCCTATCACTTAAAAACACCCCAAACCTGTAATGATATGCTGATTATATATGGAAACATTTTGTGAAGGAAGTGGAGAAACGCTGAAAAGGATATCATTGCACTTTTGTTGGTATTCTGTCAGCAAGTGGCTGTAAGAGAAGGAAAAGGGAAAAAATGAGATATAGCTCCACACTAAACATACATGACAGAATGCTGGCAAAATTTGGGATTTGGACAACAAAGTGAAAGCTACACACATGGGCCAAAATCAAGTTGCTTAATTACACCCATGGAAAGCAAATGTTACAATTAATGAACCCCTGTTTAGATTTTGAGGTGCATGCAAGTCGGGTGGGTTGGTATACGCCCCAAAAAATCTATATGAGGGTTCTTTAATTGACAGCCAGAAGCTGCTGAGAGTTACACTATTTGCATATGAAGGCATAACTGTGCTGCAGGATTTTGGCCATGGAATATTGCTGTGCTGAAAATGTTTTGAAAATTAAGATAGCAAATGGCAGATATGCTGACTCTTATCTCTTCGGGTTTTTAAAAACATGCACATTAACTATGCTTGCTAGCTCTTACACCAGATGTAATTTTATACAGAACTGCACCACGTAAAAGGACATGCAGCTGCTATTCTACTCCATTCTCAAAATGCTTGGCTACTCCGTGGTCCTTTGGCATAGTGAGCTTTTGTGGACTATAAGAACTCTATTGGGTCTGTGACTGCAAAATAAATACTACTACTACTACTACTACCATTCTGTGCTGAAAAAAATTGCCTCCTGGGTTATGCCAAGTTGCATGTTTGCAGCAGATGCTTTAAATCTTCCTGGACTTAAAAGGGATTTAAAGCCACTCTGTGCTGAAAAAAATTGCCTCCGGGTTATACCAAGTTGCATGTGTGCAGCAGATGCTTTAAATTTTCCTGGACTTAAAAGGGATTTAAAGCCACTGAATTATGTGTGGGTAGGCAAGCTCCAAAACTGGTACATGTGAACATAAAGACATTTGTGGCTAGAAAAGATGAATATATACTTACTCCGTGTCAATTATCTTTTGTTTCAGTGCAACTAAGGCAGCTACATATTCATTTAAATTCTAGGGGGGAAATAAATGTAATGATAAATTAAAGAAGTTTACAAAATAATGTCTTAAGAATATTTTTTAACTCATATGCCGCCCACACTACCCAAAGGTCTCTGGCAAGGGCAGCAAAATAAGGAAAATTAAAAGGCAACACAATTACAGACATGATAAAACAGGTATTGAGGCACTACACAGAAATGGTCCCTAAACCAAAACTTCAAAAAGTTTTACAAAAACAGTAACAAAGCTGTGGACAAATTTAGACTGAGAAAAGAATTGGCTCACTCTTTTTCTGAGCTCTGGAAATTGACTAATTCTTAATGGAGTAAGAGTTGAACTGAAGTGTGAAAACAGAAGACAGATCTTTAACTTCTCTATACCAAAACTGTCAGATTCCACAATTTGGAGACTGAAACACATTCTCAGCACTCATATATAAACTAAATTAAGTTTTACATTTAATTAAAATTTTGTGGTGACAGCAGCCATGAAATTAAAAGACACCTAATTCTGGGGAGGAAAGCAATGACAAACCTAGACAGCATCTTAAAAAGCAGACATCACTTTGCCGACAAAGGCCCGCATATTCAAAGCTATGGTTTTTCCAGTAGCGATGTATGGAAGTGGGAGCTGGACCATAAAGAAGGCTGACCACCGAAGAACTGATGCTTTTGAATTGTGGTGCTGGAGGAGACCCTTGAGAGTCCCCTGGACTGCAAGGAGAACAAACTTATCCATTCTGAAGGAAATCAACCCTGAGTGCTCACTGGAAGGACAGATCCTGAAGCTGAGGCTCCAATACTTTGTCCATCTCATGAGAAGAGAAGACTCCTTGGAAAAGACTCTGATTTTGGGAAAGTGTGAAGGCGAGAGGAGAAGGGGACGACAGAGGATGAGATGGCTGGACAGTGTCATCGAAGCTACCAACATGAATTTAACCAAACTCCGAGAGGCAGTGGAAGACAGGAGGGCCTGGCATGCTCCGGCCCATGGGGTCACAAAGAGTTGGACACAACTTAATGACTAAACAACAAAAAATTATTTTATAACAATTAACTAAAATAATGGAGCACTGAGCCAGGCTTGATTGCTACCTGTAAGCCTGTAAACAAGGAAAAATTGCCTCAGAACTTTACTAAGCTTGCTAATATAAATGATTTTTCATCATTTATATTTTGATTAGTGTGGACATGTAGACTAATTAAGACTGAGGAGATTGCTTTAAATATTATAGCACTGTTTGAAAATGAACCAAGTATATTCTTTGAAATGTAAATCTGCTGATCAAACACATCTGTATAAATGATCCACCACTGACAGAACTTTCATACCATCCAATGTTTCACCAAACACAGAGGCTTACAATGGTCGAAGGAATCGACTCACACATTCAACTGCCATCAGGCAGGAACATGAGGTATGAGTGAAAGAAGCCTATGACTAACCAACAGAGCAGAAGCAGGCAGAAAGCATATAGTCACCCAGTGGTCCAAACCCATGGACCACGTATACGCCTGATGGGTTTCTTACAAAGAATGCTGGAGCAAATGGGCATTGTTCTGATTTAACAGATATATCTTGTATTCTTAAGCAAGAGCATATAATCAAGTTCTCTCAAAACATCTATGAGAAGTTACACTTTTTACCACTCTTTCCAGAACCACCCAAGATGCATTAAAGCTTCTGTAATTTGTAGTCTGGAAAAGGAACATTTCATAGCTCTATAGATTAGTGATACTTGGAAGTATTAAGAAAACGCTAATCATACACTTCTCCTTTGTCTATCATACTATACCATGTTAGTAACTCCTCATAGCAAGGCTGTATATAAGGGTACATCTCTGACCAGTTATAATGAATGCCAGTTTTGATGCTATCTTTCTTAGAGTTCATCTACCCACAAAAATTGTTGACCTCATCCTTGTTCCCTCTTAAAATAATTTGCTTTTTAGATTTAAGAGTAGAAAAGGGCATAGAGTAGCTCACTACCTTAAACAGAATGTTCACACTTCATAACAACTATCTACCTCTTGATAGTTCCTGCTTCAAGGCCCTTAGAAGTAAATCTTCTTGGTTTGTAAGACAGAAATGAAGCTGGTCAAGTGAAAGAGAGAGTATATTGATATAGTATAATCACCCAAAGTTGGTCAAAACCATTTCATAAAACACAATTTGAACTTTTAAGGCAATGTGACAAAAAAAACCTGTTTGATCTATCAACGTTAAGACGCATTGGCCAGAATCCTATTGGCAAGCATGGTACGTAAGTGCTCTGCGGCCAAAACACTCTGTTTTCCCTGGACATCACCAGTTTGCAGTTTCATAAGCTGGTGATTGCAGACTTCTACTTGCACAAGGGGTTAGTAGCCTTTCCTTTGCACTATTAGCAGGAAAAGAAGAACCATGCAGAGAATGGATCAATCCATGTATGCTTAATAAGCAAAAGATGCAGTAGGACCTTCATATCCATGTGGGATCGGTTCCAAACCCTTCCATGGATGCTGAAATAAATGGATTTTAGTGAAAGGTATTTTAATAGCAAATGCTACTGGCAACTCCATCTTTAGAAAAACATTTCTAGAATTTTTCTTTTAATATTTTCAAAACGTGGATAAGTGAATCAGCAGATACTGATTCTGTGGATAAAGGAGTCCTACTGTACTATCATTTGGCACATAATCCAGCACATGATGTTAGGTTAACAGAACTAGATCTATGGAAAAAATCAGAAGCCTGTGTTTATCATAGCTAGCATTTACAGTGGATACAAAAAGTTTAGACATCCCTGTTAAAATGTCAAGTGTCTGGGATGTAAAAAAATGAGACAAAAACAAATCATTTCAGAACTTTTCCCACCTTTAATGAGACTTATGAACTCTACAAGTTGAACAAGAAACTGAAATATTTTATGTAGAGGCAAGTAAAAATAAAAAACTGAAATAATGCCTTATAGCATCTTTGCCTTATAGCATCTTTGTCTCATTTTTTTACATCACAGATACTTGACATTTTAACAGGGGTGTGTAAACTTTTTATATCTACTGTATTCCAATAAAGATTAATTCCTGGATTAACCTAATCTTTGACAGACAAATCAAAAATTATTCTGAGTATTAAAGTATAAACCTGTTTATTGTTGCAGCAATTCCAGGTAACACCACCTTAATTCCACAAGCTTTATTTATCTGCATAACTTCAATATTCCATATGCACAAAATACTTCAGAGCAGTTGTAAAAGGCAAAAGTCTTACAGCTATGAAGAAAACTAAGCACAAATACTTAAAGAAAATCCTTCCTTGCAACATGTGAAAAGACGCAGGTGTTCACACTTATTTTGTAGACAGAACTTAAGTCATGGCTGAATCCAAAATAGAGGAGCAAAAGTGCAAGAAAATGTCAAAATGAGTGGTTTAAACTGCATTCTAAAAATTCAAAAGCTTATAGCCTAATAAGGCACATTCAAAAATAAGAATGAATCTAAATAAAAAGCATTACAACTTTAAATAATCTTTAGCCTTACTTTTAAAAAATGGAAAAATATCAAAGTTGTTAAAACTAAAATATATATTAAAGAAAATGACTCACCTAGACTCTAAGCATATTAATAATGCACAAGGAAAAGCAATTGATTTTTAAATGCTCACCCAGCAATCTATGGAGGGAAATTCATGTTTGTGAGTTGCCTCTGTGTCCAGCTGCTCTGCTACATGTTGTCAATATCCCGTGTATGTAGCCCAATGTGAAGCTCTCTTGTTATAGTTAGTTGAATGCCTTATTTTTGACTGTCCACATATTTATAACTCTTTAAATTGTTTTTACTCCCCGATCTGTAAACAAATTTATCTCCAGGTGCCTGGATATCCAGGGGTCTTGAAATCCAAGAATTTTTTTAAAATGTGAATCTTATTTTTTAAATGGGAATCATCTACTATAACTCCAGAGGTTTGTAATGCAGCCTCTTGCAAGTTGTCATTTTACTGATAACATGCTTGTTGTGACTCTTTTTGCAGAACCTGGCAGGAACAAAGCTCTGTACAAGAACCTTATAACCTGATGTTATAAGGTTCTTGTAACACCAGAACCTTATAACATCAGGATATTATAGCTCCAAGGTATTTTAAATACAAGATATTGTAAACTCAAAATATTGTATGCTAAGCATATCTTGCAGTCACTGGAAAATTGTGTGATTTGACTGGCAATTGCCATTTTATGTTCTCGTATTACATCAATACAGTGGTGCCTCGCATAGCAAGGGTTAATCCGTTCCGGATTAACCCTTGCTATGGGAAACATCGCTGTGGAGAATGAAAAAAGCCATTGAACGAAGTTCAATGCGTCCCTATGGCTTGAAAACTCACCACTGTGCGAAGTTCTTCCATAGTGCCGCCATTTTCGCGCCCTCGGTAAGCGAGGGCAGGGCGCGAAAATGCGCCGTGGACCTTCCGGCGGCCATTTTGGAACCGCCGATCAGCTGTTCTCCCCCGCTTCGTTATGCAATATTCGCTAAGCGAATCGCTTAGCGAATATCGCAATGCAAAAAAACTCCATGGGGCCATCGCTGAGCGAACACTCCAGTGATGGCCCAGAGCCCCTCGTTAAGCATTTTCGTCGCTCAACGGGGCGCTCGTTATGCGAGGCACCACTGTAATTCTATTCATTACGTATTTTCAATTCAAC